TGAGATTCCATCTCAAAACAAAACAAAACAAAACAAAGTCTTGGATTTCTTTCAGCTCTGTAATATCCTTAAAACCATACATATGGCCTCTTAATCAGCAGTTGCTAGTAAAAGAAACTCTGGACAAATCAAGCAGCGTGGGTGGGTGGCTATTGATTCAGATGCATGCAGAAGGCAGAATTCTAAGTATCAAATCTATTTAGTAGAAACCTGTTACAGTTGAAAGCAAAAATGTTTCACAGAGATGAAACCCTGCTGTGCATTTATGAACTACAGAAATACCCATGGAAATTTCTCTGGAAGAATCCCTCATTAGATATCTGGGTTTCCAAAGGCTAATGGCATCTCTCGCAGAACACAACCATTAATCTCAAGTGCTCCATGCCAGTTGACTGTCTTCTGAATTCAAATAAGCACCTACAACTCCTAAAGATGTAAAAATATTTTTAGGTGTATAACAATCTCAAGTATCAGGGTGAGCATGGAGGCTCATGCCTATAATCCTAGCACTTTGGGAGGCCAAGGTGGGCAAATCACTGGAGGCCAGGAGTTCGAGACCAGCCTGACCAACATGGCAAAACGCCATCTCTACCAAAAATACAAAAAATTAGCCAGGCATAGTGGCATGCACCTGTGGTCCCAGCTACTCAGGAGGCTGAGGTGACAGGATCATTTGAGCCCAGGAGGTGGAGGCTGCAGTGAGTTGAGATCATGCCACTGCACTCCATCTTGGGTAACAGAGTAAGACTTCACCTCAAAAGGAATCTGAAGTGTGTATATGTTATCTATTTTCTTGTTGGCAAAGAGAAAATTTAACAATTGGATGCATGCAAAAGCATTGTGATATCAAGCCCTGCCCTCCTCTTTTTCTTCTTCTAATTTCTAAAGAAATCCTACTCATGATGGAAAATATATTGAAATAAAAAGGGAAGTTCCATTCAATTTAAATAATACCGGAATTATTAGGACCAGGGCCAGTGGTTTTTCCCCTCAACCATTGTGGGGTAAAAAAGCCATCTCAAGGTTTGAGAAGGGTAAATGCGTAACTCGAATAGGTACCAGCAAGAAGGGTGCTGTGCAGGGAATGGGAACAGCAAAATCTCTTAGGGAGCTCAAGGCAAATCAAATATTATAGTGCAGCAGGATTCAACATTGAGTTCCCACTCCTTTCAAGATCCATCCTTTGAGCCAGGGGAGGGAAGAGGAGTGGGGGGACATTATTGGTATTTGGGAGAAGGACCATTCTTTGTCCTGTGCACTGTGGAATGTTTACATCCTTGACCCCACTCACTAAATGCAAGTAGCACTTTGCAATCCCTGACACAAAAGCATCCCTAGACTCTCCCTGAAGACATTGCTATCCCCCTTTGACAGCTCTGCAAGGTTGGAATGCACCAACAGAGAGAAGAAGGTGGGGTTTGAATGTAGCTGTGAGGATGCATCACTGAGCAGGAACTGACTAGTACCCATCTTTCTTTCCACACATGGGCACATCAGGAAAGGAAGAGCAATTAGCTCTATTTGCTGGCAAAGAAAAGGTGACATCCAAAAAGCTACAACAGCCTCATGATTAGAGAGGAGGCTTTATAGTTGGTAGTAAAGCAAATTTTAAAAGGAAATCAAAGACTGAAATGGACTTCAGTCAGTGTTCAAAAGAGCTGACATAGTAAATGACTCAACCTGTATGTCATTGGTCTTCTGAAGGGGAAGGGTTGTTTCTCTGGCAGACTGCCTGACATGTGCATGAAAAATATAGGAGACAGGTAGCTTTTAGGCTCTTTTGTGGACACTGGATTTCAAAATTTTAAAATTAAATGAAACACAGATGAAAATTTAAAATCCTGCATATCAAAGCACACTGACCATTTACTTAATGGTCATTTAAGTGATGGCTTACTTAGTAAGTCATTAAGTAAGTAATGGAGTTACTTAAGACCATTTACTTAACAAGTACGTGCCATGTTGCTTGGCGTTTTCTGTATAAGTGGACAGTTTCGGGGGTTCAACTTTCCCAGTGTTGCTGCTGGGGATCCCCTGCTCTCTCCCACCCACCCCATTGGCCCTTCCCAGTTTCTATCTTCCAGCCACTACCCCCCAACCCCTACCCAGGACAAGGTCATCTGCGGGGAAGAAGGGAGGAAGGGACCCGTCATCCTGCCATCACGGGACCCCATTCCCTCTCCTTCTCCCTTCAGCTTTCTAACAGCAACATGATTTGTTAGGCAACTACCCGAGCTAAGGCTTCTTATTTGGTTGCTTGATATTAAAGTAGGCCAGCAAAGGAAGTTTTAACATCTGTCCCCGCAGAGGTTTGTTTTAATTTTTTTACAACAATTTTTTAAAACAAAGAGCCCCTTTTCATGAATTATTTGAGATTTGCTCACCTGAAGGCCACCACTCCTGATTTTTCTACAAACAAGGACATTCTCTTCTAAAATACAATAAAATCATCAAAACCAAGAAATTAACAGTGATGCATTACTACTGTCTAATCCTTGGACCCCATTCACAGCTCTCCAGTTGCCCCAGTAATGTGCTTTACAATGAAAAGACGCAGTTTAAAAAAATTTTTTTGTGTTTGGCTGTCATGGCTGTTTTTAGCCTACTTCAGTCTGGGACAGTAGCTCAGTCCTTCCTTGGTTTTCACAAACTTAGCAGTTCTAAAGAGAACAGGCCAAGAACTCCTCTCCTGCTACTTCTATGCCATCAGGACCGGAAAGAGACCAGCATCTGCCTCCCTCCCCTTCCACCCATCCTGGAGGCTTCAGTCTAGTGATAGGGTTGTTGGGAAGAACTTGGGCAGAAGCTCTGGGCATAGCAAGGTCAAGAAAAGTTTCTTTACTATTCCTTAAAAAAAAAAAAAAAGAGGGGCCTGGGACATAGCTTTAAGCTTTCTGGAAACTAGTGTAGCGGAAATACTGCCCCTGCTATCGAATTCTTTACAAAGTGTAGTCTCTGTTTTGGGTCCCCCCTGGCCACTCTGAGTTCTCTCTCTCCTTGAACCTCTAGGCTGGGTCTCAGGTTGCTGAAGAAAGGCCAGCTGGCAGAGGAGGAGAACTGGAAGCAGCCGTGGAGAAATTTAGTTTCTATTTCTTCTTGCCACTTGGCCTTTGTTCATCAACCCTGCTTCTCTATTGCCATGGTCCTTTCAGAATAAGATTGCAGGACACCTCCTCCGAACAGGGAGCATGCACTCATTCTGGTACCCTTGCACTGCATGTCTCCACTGAGTCCACAGTGTCCCAGTTAATGTCACTACATCATTTCATATCTATGTACATGCTGTGACTATATTTCAGTTGTGTAATGTCTGTAACAATGTCTCTTCTTCCTACTTAGGTTCCAGGTACCTTAGATGAGGGACATGGTCTTCGGCATCCATCTGTATATCTTCAACAACTTGTAATGAGTTGCGTTAATATCAGCTTTCTGTAAATATGTGTTGAATGGTTGAATGCTTGTCCATGTGTAGGCCTGCATGTGACTCAAAGAATACATGTCCATATTCTTTTAGAATGTGCTGATACTTTAGGATAATCTATTTCTCTGATCTTTATATTACCATAGACGTTCTAGAAGAAAGATTTTTTAGTGAAATCCTCATTTTAAAGTTCAGAAAGTTGGAGCCCAGAAAGGTTGTATGACTTGTCCAAGGTGTCATTTCCAGCTAGTAGCAAAATTAGCACCCAAACCAAAATCCTACCTACTTTCCTAAAGCTCCACCCACTGCACCATGCACCTTCCTTCAGCACTGGCAAGTACAGATATGTGTATTATAGCTACTGATTGAGTTCGTAGGGGCAGGGAAATGTCAAAGCTAGTGATGCATAAAAGCTTATATCAGGGTCTGTCATGGAGGTCCAAGAGCAGGAGGTCCAAAAGCTTATATCAGGGTCTGTCATGGTCAGCTTCTGGTGAGGGCTCCTTTCCTGGCTTGCAGACAGCCACCTTCTCACTGTGTGCTCACATGGCTCTTCCTTAGTGCTTGCAAATAGAAATAAAAAAGAAATCTCCTTCTCTCTTCCTCCTTTTATAAGGTTACCAATCCTATCAGATTAGGATCCTACCTATAGACCTCATTTAACTTTAATTACCTCCTAAAAATCCCTCTCTCCAAATATAGTCATGGTAGGGGTTACAGCTTCGACACGTGAATTTTGTGGGGACACAATTCAGTCCATAGCATAGTGATAGTGTAAATATTTTTAAACACCTTCGACATACTATATAATATGAAAATAGTTTTTGTAGTGTGACGGGTCCCCCACCAGGTTACTTAAGAGTATGTGTCTGCTGCTTGAACCCTGAAGGCTGGGCAGTGAACCAAGGCCATGGTGCCCAGCTGAGGAGTAGGTGTCCTTGAAAACTCATATCCCGGAGAGAATCTGAGAACCTACCAAGGAAAACAGTCCCATCGTGCACACGCACGGATCTCTGGAGCTATCCTGCTGCCATCCAGGAGTGCCCTGTTTATAAGTCCTAATAAACTCATCTACTCATCAAGCTGGACTTGTCCATGTTATTCTTTGGTCTTTCAGCACCTTCCCAGTTGGGGGTGGGCACTACAGTCCCAAGTTTTTCCTGTAACAGCTGAGATCTATTGGTGACAAAATTACAGGTACTACTATTAATACTGTGATTTGCTGCCTACATTCATCGTGGGAGGAAATGCTTCATTTCAGGTTGTGGTTAGTGAAAGTAACTATATACATATGTATGTTTTTTTTCCATCCAAGTTCACAGGCACCCTGAATTTCTATACAGGGACATCGGGCTAAGAATCCTTGGTCCACACAAGTAATATGTTCTTGTTGCGAGCAAGCAAGTGGCATAACCTCCGGATGGTGAGAACAGGTTTTGAAATCAGCTGATTCTTCCCATTGCCAGTTACTCAGGAGCAGTAAGCATGTGGAACTGAAAATAGACATCATCTGCTCCTGGCTTGCTTTCTGATATTTTTGATTGTGTGTTTGAGTATTGGAATATGTTTTGTCTTGCAGATACCAGTAACCTAAATACAGAACAAAATAACTCCTGGACCTCCGAGAACTTCTGGCTTGACCCTGCTGTGAAAGGCCAGTCAGAGAAGGAAGAGGATGATGAGCTTCGGAAATCCCTGGATAGATTCTATGAAATGTTTGGCCATCCACAGCCAGGCTCTGCGAACTCACTGTCTGCATCTGTCTGCAAGTGCCTGTCTCAGAAAATCACTCAACTAAGAGGCCAGGAGAGCCAAAAGTATGCTCTCCGCAGTTTTCAAATGGCCCGGGTCATCTTCAACCGGGACGGCTGCTCAGTCTTACAGAGGCATTCCAAGGACACCCACTTCTATCCACTGGAGGAAGGAAGTATATCTTTGAATGATGAAAAGCCAAACCCAGGACTGTCAAAAGATATTATTCATTTCCTCTTGCAGCAGAATGTAATGAAAGACCTGTAACTGGTGCCGGGCGGTGTGCAGGCTAGTAATGGAGGTGCTGTGCCATGGCCAGCACTGTTGGTGGCCACCCAGATCCCCTAGGGTCCCTGGCCAGCTCTGTGTGCCCAATCCCAATTAAGTGCTTTGTGGTTAAAGGCTGGCACCTGTGACCTGGTACTGGAGCCAGTCAGCCCATATGGAGAGCCAGCAGGGTCTGGGAGTTCTCTGTCCCCATGGTCACCCCACCCCCCACTCCCCTTGGCCAAGGCCACTGACTGACTGGGCTATGAGTCAAAAGCCCAGCTCCCTTGCCTCAAGGAAGGACATTCTCTGAGGCGTAATTTATGCTCTAGAGCTCCCTTTCCTTGAGATCAGCCTGAGGCTGGGACGTTACATGAAATCACGCCCTTGCTGGGCTTAATCCCTTTCCCTATCCTCCTCCCATTTATTTACTGGTGTCTCTGGGAGCCTTTCCTGAATAAACCTCTTATATCTGAATCCTTAACTCAGAGTCTACTTCTGGGAGAATTCAACCTGAGAGAACATGCTTCTGTGAGATGAGGTTTTAGAAGGATACAAAGCTCTACACTGAATCAGGTATAAGAAATTATATCAAGTTGTAAAACTGACACCATGTAAGTGAGAATACATGTCCTAAAATAATATAAAGATTGAAATACAGTTTAGAAAAGCATATCACATCTTGATCACACCCTTGCCTCCTCTCCAAAGCTAGAAATCCGTGTTTTATCATACTAACTGGGTGTGGAGGGAACATTTGGACAATCTAAAATAACAGCTAAAATTCACAATTTAAAAAAAAATCTCTTTGTCTCTTAGATTGCAAATGTGAAAGGTGAGAAGATAACAAACGTGCACCACCCACCACAGTATATGTAAGCACTATTATGATATGCTAGGCTGATGCCATGTGGCCTTGTCAAGTTGTAGTTGAAGAGAATAAATAATCCTTTGCCCAGGTGGGGCCCTACTTCCTCTTGTATTCTGCCTGCCTGCACCCTCTGTCACCTTGTGAACGGTTGGCCCCTCATCCTTGCCCTGTCCTTGCGTCCAGTACCCTGAGCTCCATTTGCAAAGGCTTGTCTAGAGCAGGACTTCTTGGCCACCTTATCCCTGTCCTCCAGGCCTGAGCCCTTCCTCACCAGGGAGCTCTTTAAATAGCCAGTGCAGGTTTGCACTGGCAGATGCTCCACTCTGCGGGTCATGTCCTGAACCCCCATTTGAGACTCAGTTGGTAGAATTACATCACCTGGCACCGGGATCTCTGAAGCTGCAATTGGAAGCCTCATGCTAATCCCTACCTCAGCAGTGCTTTCAGCAAATTGCATTGGTAGAAAGGGTTATATTGCTTTTGGGTGGGGGAAAACAACAAAAGAAGCTGGCAGCCCTGAGCAATTAGATTTTGAGACACTTGAGGTGCAATTTAATTGGCCTAAGATTCCAAAAGCTTTCCAGAAAGCAGATTATGCGAATGGGTTGGCCTAAAAGTATACATTAAGAGTGAGTGTGCCATCTCAGGAAGGTCTCCTGGGGACTCCTGAATGGAGAGAGAAGCCTTTTAAAGGTTAGGAATGACACACTCACATTCAGACTTCCAGTGCTGGGGAGATTCGGTGTAAGAAACAGTGCTTCAGATTGAAGTGTAGGGGCATCCCCCAGAAGGAGACCCAAATGGTAGAAACAGGAAATGAATAGGTCTTTGAGAGACACTGGAGGAAACAAGACTTCAGGTTTTCCTCTGACAAGCAATCATCTGCTTCTTTCTCCGTGGGCGTTTCCTATTCAACTGGCCCTCAAATAATCATGAAGCCAAGGGGACTTATACTTGAAAACCTGACAATTAAATTTTAACGTAGTTAGCTTTATTGTTTTTTAATGAGAAGCATATTAATAGATGTCCTTGATGAATGCTATCACTTTTAGTATGACTCAGTCACTGCAATGTTTGCACTTAGTCTCCATGGCTACCTGCAGGAGGAAACTGGATTATTTTATGTTGTTTTTAAAAGGACAAAAAATACAAGCCATTTGAATCTTCATGTTGGGAAGCAGCAGCTTCTATTTGGCAATGAGATTTTAGTGTCAAACATTTCGTAGCCTTTATTAATATGTGTGCCAAGGGTGCCCAGTGAGAGTTTAACCCCAAAAGTAGAGAATTTAGAAGTCTCAAAGCCAGAATCACCTTAGGTTTAAAAAGAGTGTGGTATGTGTTTACTTGCATCTGAATAAGTGTTTGTGACAGGTCAATACAAGATATTTGATTCCCTGCAAACTCACTGCTTAATTTGATCTCTGTGAGGTTAGGATGGCATTTTCCATTTATTTCTGTGAACCTTTAATAAAGACTAACAGATAAGGATATTGAGGCTTTGGCCTTTGGCATTATTGTCTAATTCTGCCCTACAGATAAATTCACCAACATTATACCATCTCATGAATGTCATGACTGGCCTGTGATATCATCTGTGGTCTGTTTCAGACCTGGGGCCCTTTTCAGGTCTTTGTGAGACATCAGAACTAAGAATGCAGAAACATCAGAACCCTAAAGAAGAGAACTGCTACCAATGTCTTAAATTAGTGTGCTATTTCTCATTTCATTAGCCTATTTCTTTGCATAACCTATGTAAGAGCCCATGTAACAAATCTTATTACCAGTAATTAGCACAAAACAATAGAGCTATACTTTTTTTATTTTTAAATAATTTATTTTAAAAAATAGAGATGGGATCTTGCTATGGTGGCCAGGTTGATCTTGAGTTCTTGACCTCAAGCAGGCCTCCCACATCGGCCTCCCGAAGTGCTAGGATTACAGGTGTGAGCCACTGTGCCCGGCCAGTTTCTTTAACTTTTTAAAGCTTTTAAAACTTTTTATTGGATAATAATAATTACACAGAAACATGCATATATCATACAAGTGAACACCTTGATGATTTTCACAAACAACCGACCTGTGTAGCCAGCATCCTGATGAAGCAACAGACATTACCAACCAGCCCAGAACCCCTTTTAAGTAGAGAACTGATGAGAACAGTTTGCTCTGACCAGTGTTTCTCAAACTGCTGGTAGCACAAATAGTTTTAGATACTACAAGGAAAAACAATGTTTATTTTAATTGGTGATCTATTCAGTTTAAAATGTTAGAAAAATAGAACTACTACATCTGGTCCATGCTTTCAGATGTATTGCATAGAACAAATCTAATACAAGTACTTGAAATTTAAAACTGGACTGAATTAACTTAAAAATTAATAATAGTGCAGGTAACATGTATGTCCAAATGTATAAAAGTGGTATACCTGAAAATGACTGAGGTTTGGAATTAAGTGGTGTATTAATCTGTTCTCATGTTGCTTATAAAGACATACCCGAGACTGGGCAATTTATAAAGGAAAGATGTTTAATTGACTCACAGTTCCACATGACTGGGAGGCCTCATGATCATGGCTGAAAACAAATGAGAAGCAAAGTCACGTCTTACATGGTGGCAGGCAAGAGAGCTTGTGTAGGAACTCACCTTTACAAAACCATCAGATCTTGCGAGACTTATTCACTATCATGAGAACAGCATGAGAAAGACCCATCCCTGTGATTCAATTACCTCCCACATGGATACTCCCATGACACATGGGAATTATGGGAGCCACAATTCAAGATGAGATGTGAGTGGATACACAGCCAAACCACATCAAGTGGGATAGGTGATCCATCATACCCCATTAGTCTCCACCATTGCTCTCCTGGAATACTGCAAGAAACTTCCTTCTGGTCAATCCATATCTACCTTTGCCTCTCTTTACCCTGGAACCATAAAGCAAATTCTTTTAAAAAGCTAAACATGCATGAATAGCCAAAAAATTTAAAAGAAGGAAGTAGCGTTCTCAAATGTGAAAACATTTTTATTTCTATAGTAATTAAAGCAGCAAAAAAGGCATAGACAAATCAAAAGAAAAGCGTATAGTCCATAAATAGATATAAATGCCTATGGAAATTGAGTATATGGCGAAGGTGACATTGCAAACCCATAAGGAAAAGGTAGAGGTTTTAGCAATTGCTCTTAGACACTGGCTCCCCACATTGGGGGAGGGAGAGTGAAAAAGGCTGGATTCCCCACCTTATTTTTCATATCAAAATGAATATTAGATGGATTAAAGACTCAAAATAAGATAAAAATCACAAAAATGCTAGAATAAAACACAGGTGATATGGATATATAAATGGAGATATTTATGTATAGATATATTGGAACAGTGAAGATTTTTCTAAGACTGACACAAAACCTAAAAATCATAAAGGACAAATTTGATGAAAATGACTGCCTAGCCATATGCAAGATCAAAACTAGGAAAAATACTTAGAATACATCTAACAGAGAGAACTTTTTCAAGAAACAAGTTGTACAAATTATTAGAAAAACAACTAATGGAAACATTGACAAAGGACATGAACAGGTGGTTAAGAATATATATGTAAAAGTAAAAAACACCATAAAAGTTACAGATGACAATATACCTAAGTGTTTTTATAGCCCTGCATGAGAAAGACCTTCCTAAAACAGATGGCAATACAAAATAATAAAAGATTGACAGTTTTTTGTTTTTTGAGAAGGAGTTTCGCTCTTGCTGCCCAGGCTGGAGTGCAGTGGTGAGATCTCAGCTCACTGCAACCTCTGCCTCCCCAGGTTCAATTGATTCTCCTGTCTCAGCCTCCTGAGTAGTCGGGATTACAGGCGCATACCACCACATCTGCCCAATTTTTGCTTTTTTTTTTTTTTTTTTTTTTAGTAGAGACAGGGTTTCCTCATATTGGTCAGGCTGGTCTTGAACTCCTGACCTCAGGTGATTCACCCGCCTCGACCTCCCAACATGCTGGGGTTGCACAAGCATGAGCCACTGTGCCCGGCCAACAGTTTTAACTACATAAAAATTTTAGACTTATTTTTTTAAATAGATCAGGGTTTCACTGTGTTGCTCAGGCTGGTCTTGAACTCCTGGGCTCAAGTGATTCTCCTGCCTCAGCCTCCCAAGTGTTGGGATTATAGGTCTGAGCCACTGCACCTGGCCAAATTTGGAATTTAGAGTGAAAGATATCATAAATATGTGATAATAGCATTGTGGTTTTGTGAGAAGATATCCTTATTTCTTAGAAATGTATACTGAAATATTTAGAGCAAAATATCTTAACATCTGTAAATTACTTTAAATATATTTCAACAGAAACAAGATAAAGCAGACAGGACAAAATGTTAACAAGTTATCACATCCAGATGGCGAGCATATGAAGGGTCACTATTCTTTCCACTTTTCTACGTATGAAATTTTCAAACTATTTATTTAGAGACAAGGTCTCACTCTGTTGCCCAGACTGGAATGCAGTGGCATGATCACAGCTCACTACAGCCTTGATCTCAGGTCCAAGCAATCCTCCTGCCTCAGCCTCCCAAGTAGCTGGGACCACAACTGCATGCGACCATACCCTGCTAATTTTTTAATTTTTTTTTTTTTTTTTTAATAGAGACAGGGTCTAGCTTTGTTGCCTTGGCTCATCTTGAACTCCTGGCCTCAAGTGATCATCCTGCTTTGGTCTCCCACAGTGCTAGGATTATAGGCATGTGCCTTTTGTCTCAAAATACTTGTTTATTCCTTTTCCCCTCTCCGTTTCCATTCTCTCAGGTCAATTCACAGTGCATGGCTCTCTCTCACTTTGCTTTCTTTCTCTAGTGGAAAATCGCCCTCCCTGTGTATCTGAGAACTCAGTCCCCATGAGCTAGGTCACAGTCAGAGAAAGAACATATTAAGGCCATCTGAATGATGGCCCCTTTGGGATAGATGACTCTGTCTGCAAATGTGCTTGTGGACCAGACCAGGCCCGTTTGCTTGTTTAACACCCAAAGGCCTTATTCTCTCATTGCCTTTTTCTTAAATCCCTGAAAGCTGTGCATCAGAGATAGCAGTTTTACCAACAACTGAACCAAGAGTTCTCCAAATCCTCCCAAGTGAATCCTTTCCATCTGCTGTCTCAGTAGGCAGTGCATTGACGAAGGCACACAGTTTAGCATTCCTGCCCTCTGTTATTTTCTCCTCTTCTTCCTTCAGCATTTGCAGCTGAATGTCAGATGCCTTAAGCACACATTATTATTTCATGAGAAGGTAATTCATGTGTATTCAAACTGTGGGACTTTTCTGGTTGCCCTTACAAGCTCCTCCTGGGATCCTGATTAATTATTGTCACATTGTTTCTCCAGAAGGCGTGAGGACCATTAGGATGTCAGGTGTGCACCTGTCAGTTGCTCTGGTTAGAATCCCTGGATGCAAAAATGCCTAACCCTGTCCTGATTTTCACATTATTTTCCCACTGTCTTATATCCTCAAGCCCTCTCCTTTTTCCTCTCTCTTTTTCACCATATATCTAAAGGTCTTCATTATTTTATTTTATTTTATTTATTTTTTTATTTTTTTGAGACGGAGTCTCGCTCTGTCACCCAGGCTGGAGTGCAGTGGCCAGATCTCAGCTCACTGCAAGCTCCACCTCCCGGGTTCACACCATTCTCCTGCCTCAGCCTCCCGAGTAGCAGGGACTACAGGCGCCCGCCACCTCGCCCGGCTAGTTTTTTGTACTTTTTAGTAGAGATGGGGTTTCACCGTGTTAGCCAGGATGGTCTCGATCTCCTGACCTCGTGATCTGCCCGTCTCGGCCTCCCAAAGTGCTGGGATTACAGGCTTGAGCCACTGCGCCCGGCCTATTATTTAAAAAAAAAAAAAAATTGTACACACACACACACATCCATGCACTTACAAAAACTTGATTTAATCATGGTTTACTTCTGTTCAGCTTCTCCTGTCCCCTTTGGTCCCATCTTCTAGGCCCACAGCTAAGACACAAGAAGCTGCTGGAATTTGGAGACAGGGAAGACCTAGGTTGGGAATCTCTGGCTTAAACCAACAAGCATTTGGTAAAAATGCGAGGCAACTTCCAGTTTCAGGAGAAGATGATATAGACTCACTTTTGCTGGCTTCTTCTCTTTAAACACAACCAAGTACTATGGAAAGAATTCAGCAATCATAAAACGACTCTGAACAGCACAAAGAAGATGGACGGACTAGGGACTCAGGACTCGAAGAATAACACAACAGTTGGTTTTCTGGATTTTCTTTATCTTCCATATATCCTGGGCACCAGCCAGCTTGAAACCACAGACAGGTACAGGAGAGAGAAAGAGGGGGGTGGGGGGAGAGGAGAGGAAGAAGGGGGAAAGAAAGAAGGAAGGAAGGGAGGAAGGCAGGCAGGCAAGAGAGAGAGACACGCACGCGTGCGCACACACACACAGAGGGAGAGAGAGAGGGGAGAGAGAGAGAGAGAGAGAGGTCTTCTCCCTTTGGCTAAGGGACCAGGAAGGGAGAACTCAGTGGGGAGATCCACACCCAGTGGCATGGTGGACCCAATCTGCTCACAGCACTAGCACCAGCAGAAATGAGTTTCCAACCACTCCTCTACTCCACAGCCACAGACAGCAGCAGGCCAGTATGCCTGCAGCAGTGGCAACAGAAGAATCCAAACGGGCCAACCCACTTCACATCCCATCCCCACCAGCAGCAGTGAGCTCAATCTGCCCGTATCAGTGGTAACAGTGAAACGCATGCAGGCCAGGTCATCTACTGCTCCACACCAGGTGACAGCAGTAGGCTCCTTCACTTGCACAAGCGGTGCCAGCAGGTCTGGTATCTTTCAGCCGTTCATGCAGAGGCAGAAGGTGACCTAGGGCATCCCCCACACCCATATAATGACACCAGTCAACCTAGAGAAGTGCCTCCTGTCTCTGTAGGCACCATATGTAGCAACCCAGTAGGAGCTTAAGCAGAGCCACAAGAACAAGGCAGACCAGAATAGCATTGCGAAGGCTCAGAAAACGCAACTGACATTAAAACTATAGCCCACAAAACGAGGCAAAACTGACACAATAAACCTAAACAGGGCGGCTACCTGCTAAAATAGAAGCTTTATATAGAATCAAGAGTCTTGTAACATAACGTGCAAAATGTCCAGGATACAACTGAAAATGACTTGTCATACCAAGAACCAGGAAAATCACAACTGGAATGAGAAAAGGCAATCAGCTGACATTGACAGTGAGATGAATCAGATGGTGGAACTATCTGGCAAAGATTTTAAAACAACTACCATAACATAGTTTCAGTAAGTAATTATAAAATCCTTTGAAACATATGAAAAAATAGAAAACCTCAGCAAAGAAATAGAAGTTACAAAAAAAAACCAAATGGGAATCACAGAATTGAAACGTGCAGCAACAAAATTTAAAAACTCACTGGGCGGGCTCAATGGTAGCGTGGAGATGACAAAAGATAAAGTCACTGACCTTGAGGACAATTCCATTGAATTTTATTCAATTTGATCAACAGGGAGAAGAGAGATGAGGGGGAGGGTGAGAA